CCACAACTGTAAGAAAGAGGGCCCTGCAGTTGCTCTAGTCACCAGCAGGGGGCGCACTGGCACAGCACCGTGAGCAAGAGGGCCCTGTAGTGCGCGGCTGCAAGCAGAGGTCACCGGAGCCCGGCTTTTCAGATTACTGATGTTTCGCCCCTGTCCGCGGCTCCCCTCGCGGCGTGCGTCTCTGCGCCTGCGCCCCGACCCTTCCCCTACCCCCCCACACCGCGCGGGCATGCTACTCTGCGCTTGCGCGACGCCGTCCTGCGACTCTGCACCTGCGCCGGCCTGCGCTGGGGCCTGGCCCACGACTCTGCGCCTGTGCGGCACCGGCCTCTGACTCTGCGCCTGCGCCGGCCTGCGCCGCGCCTGGCGTGCGACTCTACGCCTGCTGCGCGGGCGTGCGACTCTGCGCCAGCGCCAGCGCTGTACATTTGTGAGGGCGGAGCTGCATTCTCCTCAGCCCAGACACTGAGAGTATCGCGAGGGCGGAGCTGTGTTCTCCTCTGCACCATCCTCGGGGTTACCGTGAAGGCGGAGCAGCCTTCTACTCAGCCCAGACCCTGGCGTGGATGGCACCGCGAGGGCAGAGGTGTGTTGTGCTCAGCACAGACGTTGGCGGCACCGCCTCGCTTTGGGACAACTCGGGGCCGCATCCACAGTGAATAAAATACTTCCTGTTTCTAGCCCTGAATAACGTAGGTCAGAGACTACTTAGAATGGTTCAGTGTGGAAAACGGGAAACCGAAATCCCCTCTGAATCCTGCGCCCAGAGGTTCTCTCCACCCAAGGGTTAGGGTTAGGATTTTAGGGTTAGGGTTTTAAGGCTAGGGTTAGGGCTAGGACGAGGACGAGGGTTAGAGGGTTAGAGGGTAGAGGATTAGAGGGTTAGGGTTAGGGTTAGGGTTGTGAGGGTTAGGGGTTAGGGTTAGGTTTCGGGTTTCGGGTTTAGGGTCGGGGTCAGGGTCAGGGCTAGGTTTAAGGGTTAGGGTTAGGGCTAGTGTTAGGGCTTAGGGTTGGGGTTAGGGTTAGGAGTTAGGAGTTGGATTTGGGGTTGGGTTTGGGGTTAGGGATGAGGGTTAGGGTCAGGGTTAGAGGTTACGGTCAGGATTAGGCGTCAGGGTCGGGTTCGAGGTCGGGGTCAAGGTTAGGGTTTAGGGTTGGGGTGGATTAGGGTTGGGTTAGCTGTAGGGTTAGTGTTAGGGTTGGGTTAGGGTTAGTGTTAGTGCTAAGGCTAGGGTTAGTGGTTAGGGTTAGGGGTTAGGGTTAGGGTTGGGTTAGGTTAGGGTTTGGTTCTATGTTAGGGTTAAGATTTGAGTTAGCGTTCGGGTTCTGTTTTGGGTTAGGGTTAGAGTTAGGGTTCGGGTTCGGGTTAGGGTTCGTGTTTGGTTTCAGGTTAGGGTTCAAGCCATTCTCCTGCCTCAGCCTCCCGAGTAGCTGGGATTATAGACACACACCACCATGCCCAGCTATTTTTTTTTATTTTTGGTAGCAACAGGGCTTCACCATGTTTCCCAGGCTTCTCTCAAACTCCTGACATCGAGTAATCCACCTGCCTCCGCCTCCCAAAGTGCTGGGTTACAGGCATGAGCCACTGTGCCCAGCCTTCACTTTCTTCTCTGAGTTAGAGATCTCTAGTAAGATAGCCTTTTCACAACTTTTATTACAACGGAAGTATTTCAGAACTTTGTCAGGTTAAACTGTTAAGGGTATGTCTGTTTTTCTGTGATACACTGAATTTAGGAATTTATGAGTCAGTAATGAAAGTTGATCTGGCATCACCCTTGGCATTTGAGTTCCTAGATGGAGAAGGGTCTGTTTTTCTGGCATGATCATGGCTTACAGGAATGCAGCACCCCAAGAGGACCCTAGCAATTGGGAGAATTTTGTTTACATGACACTAAGCCCCAAATGACCTTAAATTCTAAATAAAAGTTCCAAGGGTAATTTGTATAAGGGTCTTGTTTTTTGTTTTTTGTTTTGAGATGGAGTCTCACTCTGTCACCCAGGCTGAAGTGCTGTGGCATGATCTTGGCTCACTGCAACCTCCACCTCCCAAGTTCAAGTGATTCTCCTGCCTTAGCCTCCAAAGTAGCTGAAATTACAGGTGCCTGCCACTATGCCCAGCTAATTTTTTGTATTTTTAGTAGAGACGGGGTTTCACCATGTTGGCCAGGCTGGTCTCGAACTCCTGACCTCGTGATTTGCCCGCCCCAGCCTCCCAAAGTGCTGGGATTACAGGCGTGAGCCACCGCACCCAGCCAGGGCCTTGTTTTTAAAGAAAATAAATTATATGACAGGTTTGTTTCATATACATATATATATATATGTTTATATATATATTTGTTTCATATACATATATATATGTTTGTTTCATATACATATATATATATATAAACTATACTCGTGAACATTTTACTCAACATTTAAAAATCTTTAAGACCTTTCAGTACATAAAGCTTACATAAGAAAATCTAGCAAAAGTGTATAAAATCTAAACACATTTCTAAAAGAAAGGGTGAGGCTTTCAGGGTGGCTATGCTGTGTTGGACGTGGGCAGTGTTCTCTCTCTCTTGTGATTTTGCTTATATGGCAGTTCCAGCTCACAAGAGCCCTCGGAGCCTGTCTGTCGGCCTGCATCCTGTGGCATTTGGCAAGTGAGATCTGTTTAATATAAGGTGTCCATAAAGCCAAGGTTATGATATCTAAAAATAATCAACAGTAATTCCCCAGAAATTTTGTCTTTTTTGACCAAGCCACTGGTGCAATGTGGAGTCACTGCATTATATGCAAAAAGAATAATGCCCTCACTCCAGAGTCTGAACCAGAACTGACCCTCAGTCGTGACTCCCCCTTTATTCTAGGAGGTGTTAACATTAGCTATGGCAATGTAAAAACGGTGTTTCTGGAGGCAGTGGGGGCCGAGAATGGAAAGTCCTCTGCAGCCGTCAACATGGAGAGTGAGACAATGCAGGTGTTGACTCACGGAACTAGACAAGAATCTACTACTCCTTCTCTAGTGAGAGTCTCTGTCATTTGCATAGAAGGCTTAAACGCAGGGAGGGCATGGGGATTCCGTGTAAACTTCAGTAAGCTGCATAAACAGAGGCCGTGATGTGTTTTGTCTCTGACCTTTTCCAGGTAGATCTGACCCCAGGGTTGCAGCGTGATGCTCACTAACAGAAGCTGACTCAATTGTGTTATGTCTCTGATCTTTTCCAAGGACATCTGGACCCAGGGTCGCAGTGTGATGCTCACTAACAGAAACTGACTCAATTGTGTTTCCTGGTTTTGGGGAATATCTTTAATTACTGCAAGAATGTTTGTAAACTGTTGGGGCTAAATACGAAAGTTGCTCTTCAGGTGCCCTCTCCACCGAGCCACTGTGTACATTTTCTTTCTCTCTCTTGCAGCTGTTCTCTTCCTACAAACTGAACGAAAATGAAAAGGAAGTCATTTCTGCATGTGTCACAGAGGCATCCTTTCGTTCTAAAGGGAGCTGAGTTGGATTCCACAAGCGTATGGTCCTTGTAGCATGTGAATAGGATTCAGTCACGGACGAGAAGGAAGGGTTCGGGGGAGACTGTCATCGCCCTGTCCAGGCTAACCCTCCAGCTGCCCAGGTGACAGGCTGGCCTGTGTTTGTGTTGTATAAGTGTGTACAGCTGCTAATGTAGGGTCCAGAAACATCTTACAAAGTAAGCCTATCCCTACATGTAGTTTTATGTGGGTATAAATTCATTTCAGTTCTTAACATGAACATTTGTACAGTGCTTCCAAGTGAGAGTTTGACTGCCTCACATCTGGAATCCTTCAAGTTTATCCTTCTTGGAGTCAGTGTCGTGAACGTTTTCCTCTAGGTCAAGAGTCTGCTGTCAACATGATGTTCTCTAATTACACGGCTTCATACAACTCCCAGCTTTGTGGACATATATTTTAGTATTTAAGGTGTTCCTTCTTTTACTTCTGTTTATAGTTCATCCTTGACAGTGCTCTTTTCCCACTGCCTTTATCTCAGGTCCTTCCCAAGCTTTCATCCTGGCTGACTTCTTTTAAGTAATGGAAGGAGAGGACGTGGGGTCAGTCAGCCTGACTTCCGATCCCTTCTCCACCTGTTACTTGGCAAATTAAAGCTGTGTTTAGGCTTCATTTATGTCATCCTGGATTTCTCAAGAGTTACAATTTTCTGATATATTAATTACAATTATAGGATTGTTTAAAGATCAAACAAGACAATGTATATTGATGTGTTTTGTAATCTTTGTTGTTGTTTGTTTGTTTGAGACTGAGTCTCACTCTGTCACCCAGGCTGGGGTTCAGTGGCGTGAGTGACCTTGGCTCACTGCAACCTCCGCCTCCTGGGTTCAAGCGATTTTCCCGTCTCAACCTCCCAAGTAGCTGGGACTACAGGTGCCTGCCACCACACTTGGCTAATTTTTGTATTTTTAGTAGAGATGGGGTTTCACCATATTGACCAGGCTGGTATTGAACTCCTGGCCTTGTGATTCACCCAACTTGGCCTCCCAAAGTGCTGGAATTACAGATGTGAACCACCGCGCCTGGACTGTAATCTTCAAAGCTCAATAGAAACGTAAGATCTTGCTATTATTATGCGATGATAAAATCTTTCATTCTTTGCTTTTTCCTTGGTTGCTGGCCTAGAAATTGAATCAATTCTGTTCTCTCTTTTTTTAAAAAAAAAAACTTGAACGTGTGAAATTGCTGGTATTTTAATATGTTGCTGATGTTTGATCTATTTGAATGGTAGCTTCCTATGGTTTCTTCTAATAGTTAAAACTCTATCAGGCCGGGCATGGTGGCTCATGCCTATAGTGCCAGCACTTTGGGAGGCCAAGGTGGGCAGATCCCCTGAGGTCAGGAGTTTGAGACCAGCCTGGCCAACATGGTGAAATCCTGTCTCTACTTAAAATACAAAAATTGGCAGGAGAACCACTTGAACCCGGGAGACGAAGGTTGCAGTGAGCTGAGATTGCATCACTGTACTCCAGTCTGGGCAACAGAGTGAGACTCTGACAAAAAACAAAAACAAAAACGAAAACAAAAAACTATATCAAAGTGATATATTTGTATAGTGAAACCCCAGACAGTGCCGCTAAGTGAATGATGATATAATACTCTTATTTCTTATTTTGCTACGATGTTAGTTTCTCAACAATCACTCCACCTGCCGGGTTGGTCTTTTTTCCCATTGGGATTGGTTTCCCTTAAATGTCTGGTGATTCTTCATTGTTCACATTTAATAGTGACACAGGAAGAAGAAGAAAGGAGTCTGTTATCATTAGTAAAAGGCTCGTCTAGAGGGTTTTTTTTCCGGGAGTCGATAGGGTTTCCACATGTTAGTAAGTGATGTCTTTGGTTTAGATGGTTTCCTTTCTCTGGAGAAAAACTTCTCTCCTCTCTGGAAGGCAGGTGCTTGCTGTTGGTTGTCGGTGTTCTACTCACTGGTTACCTGAGGGGTGGGGTGCAGGCATCAGTGAGGGAGGATAATAAGAGTTGACTGTTAATGTACAGATTTTAATCAACCCTCCTGTTTTCTGACGCCTGCCTCACTTCTCCGCCCCTCACCCCCAGGAAGGTCCACAGATGATGCTCCTTCTCAAGGCTGCGAGGCCATCAAATCACTTTTTTGTCTCTGCTGCTCTCTCTACGTGATGGATAACCATCATGGTTTCTTGGGAGGGCAAGGAAACAACTGGGTCAGTATTTGGTCTACCATCTTTAAGTTGGAAGCTGCTTCTTCCAACTGAAGCTAAAATAACAAAGCTTCAGAGAGGGTTTTAAAAATATCTAGTATCTCAATTTTTGGGGACAATTTGAACATCTTAAGGCACTAAGTTACTGAGTTTTCTGAAAAGGGTGATGGGGGAACCATTAATTAATTAATTAATCTCTGCTTTGTTTTAAATATATTGCACCAGATTTGTGTATTATAATTCACACTCAAAAAGTACAGATTTAATTTTGATAGATTTTCTTTGAAGAAATAGCTTAACTACTCTTCAGTGCTGCATTTACGATGTGGCCAAATCTTTGAGACAAAATTATTTCTCTCTATGTAAATTAAGATGTTGTACTTTGAAAAGTCATTCCTTTCAGCATTTTTAGATCTTTCTCAGTTTTCTTGAACCTTTTGTGCAAGAGTAATGACCTTATATTTCCACATTATTCCTATTAAACACTTAGCTGTGGGCCTGAAGGAAATGTGCAGCTCTGTTAGAAAAAAGGTGGAGAAGGTAGTATCGCTATTCCTCTTTCATGAATGGGCAAACAGGTTCAGGAATTTTCCAGAACTGAGATTTTCTATCTTATAATTGGGTGTTCTTTGTCTCACAATGTGCACTTCATCCTTCTGTATGGATTTCTTTGCTGAGGCTGACTGTGAATTTCGGCTCTCACATGCTAAGTACACATTAATTTCTCTTATCCTTTGTTCCCACATAGTGTACGAGTGATTTTGAGAGGGTCCTGTATGGCATGGTCCTCAGGTGCTTGGCAAAATGGATCCATTCTCTCCCAGGTAACCCTGGCTCTAGGCCCTTTTCCATGTCCTGGCCTTCCCCAGCAGTCCCTGGAGCCCTCTGCTGACCAAAACTCCACAGTGAAGCACCACACTAATGGTGACCTGTGAAGGGTTCCCAGTTTGGGACACGTTATTCCTCTGCTGTAAAAACTGCACCACTTTCAGATAGACTCTCAGGCAAAGGCACAGAAAATTATGATTAGATTAATGATCTTTCAGAGGTTTCCTATCGCTGAGGTTGTCTGAGCCAGTAGTTTTCAAAATGAGTTGCGGGCTTCATATCCTCAAATGTTGCATTTAAATTCTAGTTAAAATTAGTTTCACCACTGTATTTTTCCATTCTAAGACAGATTTTTTTTCCATGCTTTACTTATTCTGGAGTTAGCCTGCATCTTACAATTGATCCACTGCATTTCATATGATGAGATCTCTTCTGTTCTTCTAAAAAATTATCAATAGTTTTGTGATGGATGTTGATTTAATAGCATCTCAGATTGTAAAACATCCAGGTTACAATCATTAACTCTTCTACAATATTTACATGCAAGAAGGCAATATTTCTTTCTTTTTATAAGCCAAATTATATCTAGCAGAAACTCCCATGTATCGAGATGTGGAAGATTCCAGTTCACGGAAGTTCCTTGTCATATTCTGTGCCAGACACTGGAGGCTGGGATGGTGGCACTTCATGCTCCTCACCATCCTGTCTCACTACTTTTCCTGTGACTGCTGACTGCTGGCTCTGAAGGGGGTGAGAGGACCACTGCCCTGGCAGTGGGGAGGGGATGCTCCTCTCAGCACAAGAAGTGCCAGGAAGGCAGCCATCACATGCCGGAACCTTGGCCACACCAACCACATCTGGGGAACTGCATGTGACTAGGGCCTAGCCCATTAGGAATGCTACTGTTCTGGGAACATCTCCCTGGCATCCTCATTTTGTTTTCCCATTGGCTAGTCCAGCTTAACTTAACCCTTAGATGATTCTAGATCTCCCTAGAAAATACCTAGGTGAAAGTTATCCAGGCAAATTCTCTTTTCCTCCTTTAAACCCCTAAAGGCTATATTGTGTGAGTTTGTGTGTGTGTGTGTGTGTGTGTGTGTGTGTGTGTGTGTGTGTGTTACAGAAAGACCTAATCTGCAAAAGCACAGCTTGGCCTTCAGGAAATAGATGGGAAAAGGGCTGCTTTATGATTTCCTGGTGCCTCCAAAGCACACACAAAGAGGATATAAGTTAGTACTTTCTCTAATAATTCCATCTGTAACATTGAGCATTTGAAAGTTTTAATAATACATTTAAATACCATGCCCATACAAGTGCATCATCAAAGGTAGCATTAATGAAACAGTTAAATGTCTCAACTTAACCTGTCTTCTTGTAAGCCTTGAAATAAATTTCTCTCATTATCTCTATGTATATGTTTACCATTTGTGCAAATATATCACTGAATAGAGATTGTAGACAATTTTTATTTTGACAACAGTCCACTCATGTAAAATTACACACAAAAATAGTACAGTAACCCAGGTGCATTGCCAGATCCAAGTAAATGTGAGCCAAGGCCCATTTGTTCATGCATGTGTTTTATGATTTTGTCTGTTTCCTTTGTGACTTACATGTTTATAATACGGGATGTGAGAAGAGTTAGCTCTTTGTAGTTATTTAGCTTTAAGACATAGAAAAGTGTTCTAGAATCTTTAAAAAGTAATTGCAAGAATTTTTTGAAAGCTTCTTGAAATTACAAGTCAAGATTTGTTAAAAATTATTATTCTTTGAAACTACATTTCTGTATACATCAAGATTTATCAATAACATATAAAATAAATCAATAGCAACAAAATAAAATGGGAAAGGATGGTAATGGCCACCTCATATTGCTTATTTCTTTTTTTTCTTTTTTTTTTTGGGACGGAGTCTCGCTCTGTCGCCCAGGCTGAAGTGCAGTGGCCCCATCTCTGCTCACGGCAAGCTCCACCTCCCGGGTTCACCCCATTCTCCTACCTCAGCCTCCCGAGTAGCTGGGACTACAGGCGCCCGCCACCTCGTCCGGCTAGTTTTTTTTGTACTTTTTTAGTAGAGACGGGGTTTCACCGTGTTAGCCAGGATGGTCTCGAGCTCCTGACCTCATGATCCGCCCGTCTCGGCCTCCCAAAGTGCTGGGATTACAGGCTTGAGCCACCGCGCCTGGCCTTGCTTATTTCTTTTATAATAACTAAGTCATATAAATTGAGGTCACAAAAATATTTATATTAATAAAATTATAATTTATCATTGGTAATGTTTGAGTTTTTCTTGTACATTTTTATGTAGCAAGAAAAACAGTTTTTACTGTTAAAAATGGTTTTTAAAAAATCAGAGCAAGCCTAAGCCCCTTCATTTTATAAATACAATAACCTGAGGCTTATCAGTGCTGGTGACTCACACAGGCACACACTCAGCATTGCTGGATGTCAGCTCAGGATCCAGAATGCATTTGAACAATTCGTGCTAAATTAATAAATGCACTTTAAAATAGGCCCATATTAATCCCAAAATAACTAAACCTGTGGAATTTGTAAAATAAGATGTTTATGAATGAGGACATGGCATTTTGACTTAGTTCTGATTCCCCCCTTTCTGAAAGCAGAACCTACAGTCTATTTTCCCATTGCTAGATTTCAGAGGAGAGCCTGGTGTCACTTACAGCAGACATTGCAGATGCCTCAGCATTTCAGATGAAGACGGTAAAGACCTTCTTTGTTTCGAAAAAACCTTTTTTTCCAGGGGAGAAAACACAGGTTGGATCTAAACTCAATCCTCCTATTGAAATATTTTAATGACACTGAAAGAGGTTGTTGCATTTGGCAGGTGCAAGTGGAGCCGTGCGGTCCTGCACTGAAGCCCTGCAGTCCTGACTTCTGAGTGGAGCTAGAGGAGAATTATATTAATGTGTTTGCACTACTTGCTCAATTGTAAAGCATAACAAATATATTTAAGGCATGTTTTTAAAATGAGAATAAAATAGTTTAACAATGTTTACACACCTATTTTAGTTATTACATTCTCTAATCTATTTTTATCCTCACAACCATGGAAGCGCTCCACCATCTCCATTTCAGAAAGTAGACAGTAACTGAACAACACTATCTTCTTTTAAAAAACATTTATTTCATTATGAAAGTTTATGGTTTATGTAATTAATACCTTTTTGTGGTCTGCATTCAATGGGTGTGGGCATCTGCACACTGTCGTGGGTCCACTATTGTGAAATCGCACACAGTGGTCTCACTGCCCTAAACAGCCAGGGCTCTCTGTCCATCCATCCTTTCCTCTCCCCAACCCCTGTCAACCACTGATCATTTTGCTATCTATGTAATTTTCCCTTTTCCAAAATGTCACATAATGCCCACAACAATGAATGCGAGTTTCTTTTGCTCCACATCCTCACCAGCATTTGGTGTTTTTGGTCTTGTGGATTTTGGCCATTCTAATAGGTATGTAGTGGTATCTTACTGTTGTCTTAATTGGCAATTCCTAATAACACATTATACAGAGCATCTTTTCATATGCTTAATTTCCATCTGCATATCTGTTCAGCTTTTGCCCATTTTTAATTGAGTTGTTTGTTTTCTTATTGAGTTTTAAGGGTTCTTTGCATATTTCAGATATGAATCCTTAGATATATTTTTCAAATATTTTCTCACAGTCTCTGATTTGTCTTTTTATTCTCTTAACAGTATCTTTCACAAAACTAAAGTTTTTTTATGTTAAAAGTCAACTTCCCAATATTTTTCTTCGTGGATAATGCTTTTGGTGTTGTATCGAAAAGAATCTCCAAATCCAAAGTTATCTAGAGTTTTTCCTTATGTTATCTTCTAGGAGTTTGAAAATTTTGCATTTCATATATTGATCTAATATCTACTTTGCATTAACTTTTGTAAAAGGTGTAAGGTCTGTTTATAGATTCTTTTTTTTTTTTTTTTGCACATGGATGTCCATTTGTTCCAGCACCATTTGTTAAAAAGACTCTCCTCTCTCCATTGAATTGCCTTTGCTCCTTTGTCAGAGATCAGCTGGCTGTATTTCAGTCTGTTTCTGGGCTCTCTGTTTTGTTTCACTGATGTATGTGTATATGTCTTCTGTTTTGCCTTCAGTTAAAAAATATGTAATTGCTCCCTCAATTTACTTATGAATTCTCATTTGTAAACAGAAAAGCATAAATTAATGCCGGAGTATATTTTAGAGTAGATGTTGCCTTGAATACAATGAGCAGAATGAGTTATAATTTTAAAGTGAATATAAAAATTTGACCATAGTGGTAACAGATTTGCAAACTAGTGATATCAATGACAGAGTCCATTGCAATATTGCTTTATCCTTTGGCTCAGCTGTGCTTCACACCAGGTAACTACCAATCCCTTTTGTGATTCGTGCAAGGATTTCTGTGGGGTGGAAAGTAGAAATATGATATCAGTGGAGGGAGAGAAGGCAGTTTCCCAGACTGGGAGCAGTCAGATCTCCAGTGGGTCCCAACACTGCTCTGTGGCAATACCTAGAGGGTGATGGAAACAGAGACAGGGTGCAAATGAGGTGGGTGCTGGCCCTAGGGTTCCCAGTGTTTCCTGGTTCCCATGGTCTATAAGACGTCCGAAATGAGACCTTCCGGGCTTTGGGGGGCCCCTGTGGAATTGGAAAATGAGGAAGTGAGCAGTGACAATCTAGACTGATTATTAGAGGTACGTCTCTCATTTTTCAGCAACCAAGGAGCCTTTGATTAGTAGTGAAATTGTGGCACCCCAACAATGGTGGAGTGGAATGTCCTGCCACTCTGGAGGGGTGATGGCTCAGGGTCAAGACTGAACTAATTAGAAAAAGAAATGCACTCCAGGAATATCAAGTCCAAAACGAAGCTCTTCAAACTATCTGGGAAGAGAAAACAGCATGACAAGGAAAGGTATATTTGTCTGATCCCAGGAATCAATATAAACATCCATGATAACCCCACCTATTTTTTACATATATGATTTGGATGAAACAAGAGAAAGAGACTGATTGTTGCTGAGTCCCTGCTGCAGTCCTGACACAGCTGGAGATGCCCTGCTCCCCTGCTCCCCTGCTTCCCCGCTCTCCTGCTCTCCTGCTCTCCTGCTCTCCTGATCTCTTTATTTTGTTGATGCTCATGAGGACCCTGATGTCTGAGGAAGAAGGTTCCTGTCCAGCTCTGCCCCTGGTGTGTCACGTGCCGGCCTTGTCAACGCACACGAGAACCTGACAGGGTGAGTGTTACAACCCCAATCATAGAAAAGGAAACGTCTCTAAAGTCTTTAGCATCTTGCCTGAGTTCGGACACTTAGCAGAGGCCTGAGTTTAGATGCAGCCCCGTCTTGCTCTTTGACAGCCTCAGCACCACGTGCCCTGGGTGACCCACGCAGTGAGTCAGTGACAACCCTCGTGGTTGGCTCATGGCACAGCGTGGAGCGAAATGGCCCACTGACCTTTCCAGACACTGGGATAATTCGTGATATAGTTTATGCGGTCACTCCCAGTGAGTTCTATTGTTCAGTTTAATAGAACACCTAATTCTGTGTTTATTATGAATAAAGGGAGATTTCTTGTGTTTTTTAAGAATATGAAGCATATCTATTTTGTATACAAGTTGGAAGTTCCAATACTATAGGAAGCATAAGTGCAGGTTATAATGATGGGTCTTCTATAAGACTGAATTCACATCAAACTGAATCAGTAACTCCGGCTGTATGAACAGGGTGAGACATTAAACATTTAATGAAAAGAATTCCTTTCTTAGGTCACAGCAAGGACTAAATATGTTTAATTATCATGCCCGCTAAGAAGATTTATTGTGATATTTGCAGTTAATCACTCAGTTCCAAGGGTATTTATTAATTGTCTGCTCTGGGCATAACAACAATTGGAAGCAGTATGTTCACATGAAAAAAAACTTACCTGAGGCTCTAAGTCACAACTTTCCATGACCAGCACACATTTCTGATTTGAAATACATATCTAAAGCTTCAAATACATAAATAGATATCCCAATCTAGAACTAAGTTAATAGTTGCTTAGAATTAATTGTTTAAATTATCCTGGGAATCAGAAAGATATGTCTACACGAAAAAATAAAGGTTATATTAGAATTAATAAACTTTAGAAGACCATTTTTATCTTAATATATAAGCATACTACCTAGGCACACTGTTTAAATACATCTGCAACCTACTATTTTTAGATTTAGGTAAATCATTAATCCTTAAATTTGGAAGATTCCAGTGTTAGAGCTCTAGACTATGAAACTTGGATGTTTTTCTAAAATTTTTGAGTTTTTATCCAGAAATATATATTTTCCTGGCACTGAGAACTGCAAGAAATTTCACTTGGAGTCTCCAAATAGCCATGTGTGATGTCAACATCAGTGTAATAGATACTATCACAAACATCCTGTGACTTTTATTTTATTTTTTTTATACTTTAAGTTCTGGGATACATGAGCAGAACGTGCAGGTTTGTTACACAGGTATACACGTGCCATGGTGGTTTGCTGCACCTGTCAACCCGTCATTTATGTTAGGTATTTCTCCTACTGCCATCCTTCCCCTAGGCCCCGACCCTGCAACAGGCCCACGTGTGTGATATTCCCCTCCCTGTGTCCATGTGTTCTCATTGTTCAACTCCCACTTATGAGTGAGAACATGCGGTGTTTGCTTTTCTGTTCCTGTGTTAGTTTGCCAAGAATGATGGTTTCCAGCTTCATCATGTCCCTGCAAAGGACGTGAACTCATCCTTTTTTATGACTGCATAGTATTCCATGATGTATATGTGCCATATTTTCTTTATTCAGTCTATCATTGATGGGCATTTGGGTTGGTTCCCAGTCTTTGCTATTGCGAATAGTGCTGCAGTAAACATACGTGTGCATGTGTCTTTATAGTAGAATGATTTATAATCCTTTGGGTATATACCCAGTAATGGGATTGCTGGAGCAAATGGTATTTCTGGTTCTAGATCCTTGAGGAATTGCCACACTGTCTTCCACAATGGTTGAAGTAATTTACACTCTGACCAACAGTGTAAAAGCGTTCCTATTTCTCCACATGCTGTCCAGCATCTGTTGTTTCCTGACTTTTTAATGATCGCCATTCTAACTAGCATGAGTAGGTATCTCATTGTGGTTTTGATTTGCATTTCTCTAATGACCAGTAATGATGAGCTTTTGTTCATATGTTTGTTGGCCACATAAATGTCTTCTTTTGAGAAGTGTCTGTTCATATCCTTCACCCACTTCTTGATGTATTTTTTTTCTCCTTGTAAATTTGTTTAAGTTCCTTGTAGATTCTGGATATTAGCCCTTTGTCCGATGGATAGATTGCAAACATTTTCTCCCATTCTGTAGGTTGCCTGTTCACTCTGATGAGAGTTTCTTTTGCTGTACAGACGCTCCTCAGTTTAATTAGATCCCATTTCTAAATTTTGGCTTTTGTTGTCGTTGCTTTTGGCGTTTTAGTCATGAAGACTTTGGCCATGCCTATGTCCTGAATGATATTGCCTAGGTTTTCTTCTGGGGTTTTCATGGTTTTAGGTCTTATGTTTAAGTCTTTAATCCATCTTGAGTTAATTTTTGTATAAGGTGTAAGGAAGGGGTCTAGTTTCAGTTTTCTGCATATGGCTAGCCAGTTTTCCCAACACCATTTATTAAATAGGAAATCCTTTCCCCATTGCTTGTTTTTGTCAGGGTAGTCAGACATCCTAAACTTTAAAATTTAAGAATTTACATTTTTTTAAAGTAACTGACAACTGACAATCATTTGAAAATCCATAACTTAAAAAAATAGTAATTCCTCCTACGTTTTCAACCAAGAGAAGTGAAAATCTGTTGACACAAAGGCCTGAATATAAGTATTCATAACAACTTTCTTCTTAATAGCCAAATATTTTTAAAATAGCCTACCACTGAAGAATAGATAAGCTGTAATATATTCCTACAATGGTTACTGCCCAACATAAGAATGACATACACTGGAAACCACATGGACATATCTCAAAGGCATTAGAATACATGAAAGAAACTAGGTATAAGAGAATATTCTATATGATTCCATTTATATCAAATACTTCTTTTTTGAGATAACATCTCACTCTATCACCAAGGCTGGAGTGCTGTGATGTGATCACAGATCACCACAGCCTTGACCTCCCAGGCTCAGGTGATTCTTCAGCCTCCTGAGTATCTGGGACCAAAGGGGTTGGGACCAAAGGGGTGTGCCACCACACCTGGCTAATTTGTGTGTGTGTGTATTTTTTTTTTTTTTTTAGAGATGGGGTTTTGCCATGTTGCCCAGGCTGGTCTCAAGTTCCTGGGCTCAAGTGATCCTCGCTTCTTAATCTAGTGCTAGGATTACAGACTTGAGTCATTGCACGTGGCCTGTATCATATTCTAAGACAGACAAAACTAGAGTGAAAGAAGGCAACTGCCGGGAGCTGTGGTGTGGGGCAGGGGTCACTGACTACAGCAGCTTGCAAGGGAATTTTGGGGGTAATGAAATGTATTTTAATGGTAGTGTTGTGTACATGACAATATGTATATTTGTCAAAACGCATTGATTTGTACACTTAAAATTACTAAATTTTATTATATGTAAATTAAACTCAATTAGATAGTAAAAAATAAACTTTTGATCCTGAAAAAATACCTACATACATACAAACTACCTCTGAAACAAACTACTTTTCCAGAATTTCTAATTTAAATATTCAGAAATATGAATGATGATGATGAATTTTAACAAGGCTTACATAATTCAGTTCTATTTTGGATCACGTCTGAGAGGCATATTAGCTGCTGGACTTATTTGGATTTCCTTACCTCCTTTGCATATGAAAAAATAAGAGGTTGAGACAGAAACAAGGTATGTAATTTATGTACAATGAAACTTTCTACTGCCCAGGAGATGAGGCTTTCTATTTTCCAATGAATTGTGCCTGGCAGCACAATTCACTGCTTCACAATTGATCGTTCTTTTTACCCTCAGAGCATCCTTGAAATGATTGACTCAACCATGAGAGAAACACTGTAAATATTCTCAGATGCAAACTCACAGTACCAGCGTCACAGAACACCTGCAGCTGCAAGTAACTAAAAATCCAGCTCAATTTGACTTTAAATACAAGGGAATTTATTGACTTAGGTGGGTAGTTCAGAAGCAGGCCAGGCTTCAGGGTGAATCTGAGCACAGAAGCTCATGGATGCTACCAGGACTCAGTCTCTTCCCAATTTTCTGCTCTGCCTTCAGTGAAGTCAGAATCATTCTGCGTGTGGCAAAATCTCCAGGAACAATTTCTGAGGTTGCTTTCTTCACCAAAGAGGGAGCATGAACAAGCACACTCTTGTTCCTAACAACCTAGCACAACTTGTATTTGACTCTAATTGGAACAACTCAGATCCTTGCCCATCCCCAAGTCCATTGGGGGACCAAGGGAGTGCTGTGTGGCACCTGGCATGAGCCTCAGTTATGCACCCACTTTGGAACCAATAACTGTGACACAGGGTGAGACAGTGCTGGTTAAGTCAACCAGGACCCACCGCATGTTTCAAACCATGTGACTGAATAATTCAGGGCTCTGTTAGGAAGGAGAAAGGGGGATGCTTCTTAAATAGCACCCAACACTCAACTATAATTTAATTTGACAGGAACCCGGAGGCCCTGCCATAGAAATCTCTCACAGTTGCTTGGAATGAGAGCACTCAATACAAAAATCCTATGGCAGCAACCCTATGGCCTTAAGGGCACCACGCATTTGGTGTGGAGGGTGGGGCAAGGAGGGTGGAGAAGGGCTCAGGGTCTTCTGAAGATGAAGCCAAAGAACAGATGGCACTGACTTAGCAGAGTGGAAAATGTTTAACCCCAAGAGATGCCTACAGAGGCAGCTAAGCCACACCACAGACTCCTAGAAGGGCTTGTGTTAGGGTTCCCAAGTGTCTAGGTAAGCAGAGGAGATGCTGAGGCAGACACAGAGGGTCGGTTCAAAGCACATTGGGAAGACTGTGATCCCAAGACCCCTCAGTCCACACTGGCAGTCAAATGCTCCTCCCTGACATTGGGAAAAGAAACAATTTATTTTCTTCAGATATTGAAACAGAACTTTTCTAACCTCCAGGACACTGGATAATGCTGCTTATGCAAAGACAGTATTTAGTGAAAGCCAATTTACTGAGCAGGGAGATCTTCAGACTCTTTCTCCCTCTTGGCTCCCAGAATGCTGGGGTCAGCTTGCAGTCTTAGGAGATTGGCGACCTCTTTTTGGAGAGGATCTGCAGATACCAACATTTTCAGGGTTTCCTCAGGTCCAGGAGTGCCAGGCTCCTGTGGACTCTTCCTTTGGGGAAGCAAAAGAAGACTCCATCTGTGTACACAGAATGCATTAATTGTATTTTCTTATTTTCTGTTTTCTTGACGCTCTAGCATCTGGTGTTTACTGGGAAAAGATTGTCTTTCCCAGGGCCAGCCAATTAAACTACCAATTCAGAACCCATACTCCTAACCACCTACTTTATCTGGCTCTGATACTGTAGGAGACAATACCGCCCTTCCTTAATCACCACAGGGTGAGGTACTAGGCAACTAGAAATGGCCCCTATGCCCCAGAGCCTGATGAAGCTATTCACGCTGGACAGCCTAAGCCTACCTGCCCTGCCTGCCCTTGCTGTCCCACAGAGACCACAGCAGAGGATCCTGCCCATGTCTTTCCCTCTCCTGTCTCTGCCTGGGGCGTCCCTGTGCCTCCTATTTCTAGGGATCTGTGAGTATGAATGGGACAGTCACTTCCATGTCTGCAGGTCTTAACATCCCTGATTGAAACAAAATCTGAGTACATTTGAAAACATAAGGCTTCCAATGGAATTTTTAAAACCCTTATATGGAGAATTTTAAACATATATGTAAATAAACATGAATATAACAAACCCCTGTATATCTATAACCCTTCAGAACAACAAGAAACACATGGGCAATTCTGTTCTGTCTATATTCCCAAATAAAATTCATACATTGTGATTAGCTGATGTGTTTTTAAGTCTATATAATTTATACATTTCCCTTGTATCTCCTGTATATCATTTTCTTGTAATTTGTTGAAGAAGCTGCGTTGATTTTTCTGATTCATCTTCAGAGTTTAAAATAGAATTTCGCAAAAAGGAAAAAATAAAAGCAGACGGAAAGAATAAAAATGTCAGAAAAGAAATCAATGGGATTTAAATGGTACAGCTGCTTTGGAAAACAATCTGGCAGTTCCTCAAAAAGTAAGACATAGAATTACTCTTTCATCCATCAATTCTATTCAAGTCTTCATACTGAAGAGAATTAAAAACATATGTCCACACAAAAACTTGTAGAGCAGCATTATCCATAATAGCCAAAAAGTAGAAACAACCCAAACGTCCACCAACTAATGAGCGAATAAATAACATGAAGTATTTCCACACAATGGAATATTAGCCTCAAAAAGGAATGATTGCCAGAGGCTGGAGGAGGAAAAAATGGAAAATGTAGTTTCTCTCTTGGGTGCTGAAAATATGTTAGAATTAAATAGTGGTGAAGTCTGTGCTACTTCCAGAAAGTGCTAAATTGAACACTTTACATGAGTAAAATGTAGTATGTGAATTATATCTCAACTTAAAAATCAAGAACATTTTCCAGAAATAAAGTTTATGATTTTCAGATTTAAAAGATCTATTGAGTTCCCCTCAAAATGAATTTCAAAGTTCTTCTACACTAAGCACGTTATTGTGAAATTTGATAACATCAGAGATAAAGATCTGAAACTTCCAGAGAGGTGAAAGAAAAAGATCACCTGCAAAGAGTCAAGAACGAAAATAGCACTGAAGTTTTTCACTAAAATTCTAGATATAATAAGAAAATGAAATTTGGCCTTCACATTCTGAGAGAAATATATATATTTTAAACCCAACTAAACCGTCAACCCAGTGTGAGAATAGTGCACAGACATTTTGGGACATGCACAGCATCAAAGCTTTACCTTAGGTCAGGAAGCTACAGTAAAGTGGCAACCTAAGAAATGGGAGAAAGGAATTCTAGGAACAGATGATCCATGCAGGAGAGAGGAGCAGCATTGCCGAGAGCCAGGGGTGAAATAATTCAAGCTGGAGACACTGAGACAAACACAGGAGCGCCTGGCATTCTCTGAGAGGCAGTGCAGTGGTTCTGCACTGTGTGCAGAACTAAATGTGGCATTTACCTCTTATTGGTTACAATGTGCCTTCCCAGGCCTGCCAGCAGAGATTCTAAATCCTAATGCAAATGATATGGCAACACTTGTGATTATAGACATGAGTGTTTGAATTACAGATCCAGATCCAAACCCAAATCCTCTCAGTAATTAACTGTATGCTGTCATTTAATTACTCAATCTCTCCAGCATGCCACTTCCTCAGATCAATTCGTATGGGAATATAAATTCATAGGAGTGTTATAAAGGGTAGTTTGTACAATGAGCTCGTGACTATGAAATGCTTAACATGGCATCCAAAAAGTCCTCAATAAGTGGTGCAACAATACCTTTTTATTACAGGAAATACACCCAACTTAGAAAACAGCGTTCATGGAGGATTAAGAGAAGTAACTACAGTCGGGTGAGCAGAGGGAGCCAGCGTGGGGAGGGCCTTTCCTAGGTGAGGCATCCACCACATTTGAAAGTGGGATGCAGGGCCAGAGCTGAACATCAACCAGGACGGGCAGGAATGAAGTAAACAGCTCATACCTATTCCTTCATGGGTCAGTTCCTTTCATTTTCACTTTTGACTCTGATGCAAAATTAGAACTGTTCTCTGCTCAAATGTCACTATTCTTAATAAAGTAAATAAGTAGGATCCAAAAACTTCAATTGCGTAAAATACATGCTCTTGTTATTGCAAGGCAAATGGGAAATATTTTGCAGTTGGTCATCGCCATCACAATAACACAAATTCTAAAACTTACACTGTTTACAACTGAACCACACCCTCAAATAATCAAAAAATGGTCCCTCCCTAACCTCTCTCCCCAGCAAGAGAAGGTCTTTGGCCGCCCCAACCTAAGCAGGAGAGGAGGAGAGTGGGAGCCCACAGTTGCAGTGGCAAGAAGCCTGAGGGTGATGGCTTTGACCAAATAACAGGGAATTGGGTTGACTTGTTTGAATCATTTTCCAAAAACTGATATATAAAACAGATCAGACTCATTGAAGGAGCTGGGGAGTGGGAGCCCACCCCTCAGTCTCCAGCCTCCCCAAACTGCATGTTTCTCCAGAGTAACCTTGAGCCTCTCCCAGCATGGATTAAAACCCATGGCTCTTCCAGATCTAAAATCTGAGGCTCTACAATTTAAGTCATAGTTAGGCACTTCCATACCTGTGATGGTAACATGCTTACATACTCAGTCTATCATTGTTTAATATTGAATGAAAGACACACATTTTGTTTACTTCTTATGCAGCAGGTTGGCTGTGTTCACCTGTGTTGTCTCAGGGTCAGCTCTTTTTTTTTTTTTTTTTTTTTTTTTTTTAGATGGAGTCTCGCCTGTGGCCCAGGCTGGAGTGCAGTGGCGCAATCTCCGCTCACTGCAAGCTCCGCCTCCCCGGGTCATACCATTCTCCCGCCTCAGCCTCCCGAGTAGCTGGGACTACAGGCGTCCGCCACCACGCCTGGCTAATTTTTTGTATTTTTAGTAGAGACAGGGTTTCACCGTTCACAGGATGGTCTCAATGTCCTGACCTTGTGATCCGCCTGCCTCAGCCTCCCAAAGTGCTGGGATTACAGGCAAGAGCCACCACGTCTGGCCAGGTCAGCTCTTTATTTCCAAGAATCCTGTCCCATTTCCTGGAGCCTATTGACTGGGGAAAAGATGTGTCAAAAGTTAAAAGTATGTTGAGCAAAGCCTTAGAAACACAGCTTTTCTGACAAAAGCAATGGGGATAAGACTCCCTCTTCAATTAATGATGCTGGGATAACTGGCTAGCCATGTGCTGAAGATTGAGGCTGGACCCCTTTCTTACACCATATACAAAAATCAACTCTGGATGGATTAAAGACTTAAGTGGAAAACCCAAAAATATAAAAACCCTGGAAGACAACCTAGGCAATACCATCCTGGACATAAGAACAGGCAAAGATTTCATGACAACGACACCAAAAGCAATCGCAAGGAAAGCAAAAATTGACAAGTGGGATCTAATTAAACTAAAGAGCTTCTGTACAGCAAAAGAAACTACCAACAAAGTAAACAGGCAACTTACAGAATAGAAGAAAATATTTACAAACTATGCATCTGACAAAGGTCTAATACAGCATCTATAAGGAACTTAAACAAATTTATAAGAGAAAAACAACCCCAATAAAAAGTGGGCCAAGGACATGAAGAGGCACTTCTTAAAAGAAGACAAACATGTGGGCCAGGTGTGGTGGATCAAGAGGCTGGGCCTCCACCAGCTCTAAGGTACACAATCTCAAAGTAATCCCAGCACTTTGGGAGGCCAAGGTGGACAGATCAAGAGGACAGGAGATCGAGACCATCCTGGCTAACACGGTGAAACCCCGTCTCTACTAAAAATATCAAAAATTAGCTGGGCATGGTGGCAGGCACCTGTAGTCCCAGGTACTTGGGAGGCTGAGGCAGGAGAATGGCATGAACCCAGGAGATAGAGCTTGTAGGGAGCCAACATCCTGCCTCAGCTTTCCGAGTAACTGAGACTACAGGTGTCCGCCACCACACCAGGCTAATTTTTTATATTTTTAGTAGAAACAGGGTTTCACCATGTTAGCCAGGATGGTCTCGATCTCCTGACCTCACGTTCTGCCCACCTCGGCCTCCCAAAGTGCTGGGATTCCAGGCGTGAGCCACTGCGCCCAGCTGGAAAATCTTTTCTTCTAAGGTGAGATTCAGCCCCCACTGGAGAGGAAAACACCAGAGAGTTTTAAAAAGGAAAAACCATGGTAAACTGAGGAGCTTCTTGACAGGAGACACAGCAGAATCCACCCAACTGGGGTGAATCTCTGCAGTTCCCCAACAGGACAGTGAGCAGGATCCCCAAGTCACTGGTCCCTGCAGCGTGCGAGCAGCATGAGCCATCTGTGGTCACATTGTCTCCTCTAGCAGCAGCCTCCAACCAGAAATCCATCTCGGGGTCTTTTCTCACAGGAACCTGATGCCAGAGCTGTGAACTGAAAGGATTTGGACACAGGTATTTTGTGGAACTGAGCATTTTCCAGGTCTTACTGGAGGTCATTCTGTGTGAACTTGATGAAGCTCTTTCTCATGGGCTTTTTTTCTAAGTGTGGGAAAGCATGGCCTGCATGACTGCTGGCTTTCAGCACGTAGTGTGCAAACCCAAGCCAGGGTGTGT